GTGTGTGTGTGTGTGTGTGTGTGTGTGTGTGTGTGTGTGTGTGTGTGCACGCTCGCCACTAACGGTCCACAAACACAAGTCACCTAGGACCTGTGACACCCACTTTGTGAGGCCGAAATATGTTGATTCTGAACCCCAAGAGCTGGGCCGTTATAAGTGCTTGGCAAGGCTTGATCTTTAACCTTACGATCCAGAATTCCATCAACAGGGCGACTCCTGGAAATGTGGAAGAGACAATACTGGATGCTGGGAGCTGGCTTGCGCGCACACACACACACAGCCAGACGCCAGAAACAAAGGCAAAATAAAGAAAACTGAAGAATTTCTCACCCAACAGCAGACAAAACAATATATAAAGCTTCTCACAATCTGACAAGATACACAAAATTTTTGGGCCTTATATTATATCCGACTTTTAACCTTATACCATATCCTAATAAATCTACCCCCCCTCCCCCCTCCGTAGCGTAAATGTGTTTAATGATCGGGTGAAATTATCTGGGGTGCCTAATGTTCACGTGATCTATACAGCTTCAAAGAATTGTCTTCCTTACTGTGTCGATTACTTTGAGCAACAGTAAAAAAAAAATGTTACTCACGATGTAACACAAAAACCACGTCTACCCACGCACATGGGGGAGCTTATTATGTGACGTCGTTGGCGTGTAGTGGCTCCTGAGTGAGACCATCTACCCTTATTTCCTCATCCCCTAGCACACTATCTTTCAGTTAGCCACTTCAACTTCTCATGTAATCATTATTTTTATGATATTCCAATTCTTATTATTAAAATTTTATTATTATTATTATGATTACAAACAATCCTCTTCTTCTTTTTCTCTTTATTATTTCTTATACGCTTATGATTTTGCTGTCAGTATTACTGTAAAAGCAATTAAGCAATCATAGGCATATTGGCTAGCTATTTACAGGGGGAAAGGAATACAATAATTAACTACAATAGTTAAAGAAAACAATAAAACAAATTAATGATTATTATTATCATTATTCTATCTCCCCAAGTTATTACAGTAAATCAGTTAATACAAGTATATACTGTAAGTGTAGAGGTCTTCAGTTTATCATTATGGTCACTAGATATATTACAGGTGACTTGGCTACACAACAGTTCCAAGCAACAAATAGGTACTTGTCTCTCCACATCCTGTTTCCTGACCGTAAGTTAGACTTTAAGGGATTTAAATTTAAACCTACCAACAGCTCTCAAGTATTGTTCTTCCTCCTGTTGCACCTTATATATTTGCTGCAAGCACAATAAAATCCACGTTTTTCTCCGTTTTTCATCCTTTGGAAATGGATGAAATCTCAAACTTTTATCTTGTAATCTGTACTTTGATACACATCCAAATAAGGAGCATTTATCAGGCATTGTCACAAACCTTTGCACCACGACGGCCAGATGACATCATGCGAGTTGAAGGACGAATTTTTGACTGGAAGTGGGTTGATTTGGTATAAGTAGACTTTAGTAACACACCCAACGCCATCTAGTGCTGTAGGTCACCAAACGCTAATCACCTTTAAGGAGCCACAAAGAGAGTCTTCAGTACAGTTTGCAAGATGACGATCGGAAACCACTATGTACCATGAACGGACAGTCGAACGAAGAACCCGATAACAAAATGCCTCCGCTGGCGTTTAATTGACGGATGTGATAATATGAGCAAGTGTGTCGTGTGCGTGGAGAGGAGGAAAACTAACCTTGAACACTGAACTAGGAGTGTGAACAAGGTGGTAAGCTCCAGGGTTCACTGTTCAAAACTTATTAACTTCAATTCTATCACCAGCGAGTCTAAAACAACAAAGCAAGTCACATTAAAAGAGACAGACAGACAGACAGACAGACAACAGTGAACGTTTTTACATTTAAATTCAATTACCGCATTTTTTTCTGTCATTCTCTGCACGTAAAAATATTCAGAAAGATGTAAAGAAAACTAATTACTGTATCTGTATCATACAAAAAAAGGGAAATCAATTATCTTTATCGCACTCAAAAAAATTATTAATTATGAGAATTTTATACACTTTACAATTATCTCATTCCAGCGTTACTTTAACTCTCGACTCTGACTCTAAAACAATACTCGTCACTGCTCCATCAAGTATTAATTTCCCTTTATTTAAACAGTATCTTATTTTCTAAGTTCGAGGGACACTTGAAGATAAGACACTCGAGCTTATGTTACCCTGCTGACTGAACACCCTAATGATACAAGGGGGTTAGGTTAGGTTAGGGTGTTTAATCATCAGGTGTCTAAGCTTCAGGTGAGCCGTAAATTCTTATCTCATCACCTGTGTACATTGGGTCACACCTGTCCTAACACAGCAGTTCCATCCATCAAGTTTCTCTAATTATCTTCTTTAACAGACGTCCGCCTCTGCCAATACCATAAAAAAAAAAACAGGTAATCACCGATAATGAGGTTCGCCTTTTTACCGTGCTGGTGCGGCCCTAAAATTCAACCGAGGTGTTGACGAGCGAGACAATGTTTAGTCATTTAGGGACAAATTTTTTTTTAGGTTAGGGTTTACATTAAGTTTTAGGTTAAGTTAGATTAGGTTTTAGATTAGATTAGATTAGGTTAAGTTAGGTTAGGTTAGGTTAGGTTAGGTTAGGTTAGGTTAGGTTAGGTTAGGTTAGGTTAGGTTAGGTTAGGTTAGGTTCCGTGTTTGCCTTGTCCCGAAATGATCTGTGACGGTAGAGGCAATTTATAACTGTAGTGACCTGGTTATTGATGTCCTTCCACCAGTGTAAGAAGACCATAACAACCTTATTCTCATCTGTTAGTGCAGCCTCCCTATACGGTTAAGTATTATCATAGTGAGTTTGTGTACTGGGGGGGGGGTGTTTATCATCCAGCTTACCTAGTACAAAACATCTACTTAGATTTTTATTTAAACGTACAAATCGAAAACCCAATACCATTAGCCTCTGTTATGATGATCCATGTTGGGCCACACGTCACACTACACCATTACCATCACTGTACAAACACCTGTAAAATAATCTGATACCTACTGACAGATGATCACACAAACTATACTAGTATTGTCCCTTGGAATATAACACCTTAAAACTGAATGGGTATTATATAACGTGACACACAAGACCTACAAGATGATTTCAGAATCTAAATGTTATCCTAAACTGTACTGTACATCCACCTCGGGGCTACGACGCACCCCGAACATCAAAGTTTTAGTGAAGGACCCAAGAATCTCTGAAAGTATTCTCCCAGAAAGTAAACAAATAAGAAGAATATCGATAAACGATACAAATCCCATCGGTCGCTCCAGTCTCCAGGAAAAGAGCGAGAGAAGCAGTCGTAACCTCAACACTCTGCACACGGAATGACGCACATACGGGGGTAACCATAAAAGGCAAAGTCATCGTAATACAGGTTGAAAATGACCCTTAACTACATCTATAAACCATAACACGAAAAAAAGGATATCGTAAAAAATTATTATAACACTATATTCTCTCCCTCTACTTCGTCAGCAAAAATAAATTAAACAATGTGTGGATATGATATACAGAATACCTCAGGTGAACACTGTACTGTAAAGCGGAGCTCAAACTATACAATATACATACACTTTTTTGATTGGTGCTCCGGGCAGACCTGAGATGGGGAGGGGGGTCGTTGGTTGGTTCTTGGGACACTGTGTTTGTGAAGAGATCGTATTGAAAATCTTAAGTGGTATTATTAACTTGTAGTATCGTATACTGATTAATCACCTGAAGACGATGATTTAATCTCTTGTATACGATGGAATAAACCCTCAAGTACAATTATTTAACATCATGAGTAAGATGATATTAACCCTTGAATACAATGACCTTACAGTACGTTTTCAGTACAATGACCTAACCTTTAAAATACCCCTTCAGTACGATGACTTGACCACTAAGTACAATGACCCGTGTGTGTGTGTGTGTGTGTGGTGGGGGGGGGGTGAAAACAATTTCCTGGCCAACACGTTATACAGTCCATCAAACATTGACATATTTTGTAAACGTCCAAAAAAGTTATAAAAATCAAAACCCAAATGACAAAACTCAATTGTATGGGAATTTACAAAACAAATAACAAGAGGTAAATATGTTCAATTTACAAACAGGTGAGTGAAATACATATTACATTAACACGTGTTTGTATTATTATATTCCTAAACAATACTCGTGGCGTTGTATTATTTTCATGATACTTCACAAGGAAATAATAACAATAGGTAATAGAATTTATATACTGTTCAGCTTTACATTATAACATATATACAATAATCAATGTTCATAATTGTCCCTTGATACAATTTCACCTGTAATCACCTGTTAATTACTCGATTCCCGTAAAATTTAGATGACATTCTTATATACTGTCTTAGCAAGAATAAAGATGATGAACCAATAGACTATGTTAATTTCTATTCTACAAAAAGTGATTTCTGTTCCCCAAACAGCCTCACCGACAACTAGTTTTTTTTATTTCAAGAGTTACTCTTCAACATGCTGACCAAGAGCCTGCGTTAAAACATTTTAAAATGTGAATAATGTTTCAACACGACTTATATATAGTATATGAAAAGTTGTTTTTAATATTATACGATATACAGTACTATATATTCAATAGGATTAACACTGTCGTTTGATCAACAAGCCTTTGTCATGTGCACTATCAATTTCATATACTGTATATTGCCTTCTACTGTATACATGGTCATGATACACCAAGTGTGTATACCAGTGATACACAACACATCATTTTACGCGTCTCACCTTAACAAAAACATACGTAAGACACTAGTGACACATCTATATAACACAAACTCATTCCATAAACTTCCAGCTTCATTTTATAATTTCCACCACATAAATCTCTCTCCCATAAAGGTGTGTTACGCATTTTTGGAACATGACCAGTGCAACACTTTTGTTAATGAACAGACAACTAACAGTATTGTATCTCTTCTACAGGTTGAGGGTTGGACTGCCCTCCACCCCCCCTCGTCCCTACAAACACACTCTGCCACTTCTCCCTCACCATGGTAAGTTGAATGACCTCTGAACTATATAAACAAGAGGCTCTAAAGCTTCATTGTTTTCTTATTTTACTCTGACCAACGACCTAAGACAATAAACCAAACTTGAGAAACATTTGCAACATTGTTCATTAATTACGGGAGATTTGTCACCCAAGATTGTCTTCCTATAATTAAGGTGAATAATCTATTATCAAAATCTTTCCTTCCTTGATTTTATTTTCAAACTGGTGTAACTGGTGCCAAGTGAACGTGTCTAATTAACTGTAGAGTCTAAGGGTGATTATAATGTTATAATTGGACGCGAGTTGTGTGTTTTGGTCTAAGTCGTACAGGTGTGATCGTGTTGTTTCAGTTATATAAACAGTACAGTACAAAGGTGATACTCATGGGTGGAGACTTTGTGAATCCAGCCTCAGTCTTGTGACCAATTGTTTATCATCTCGTTTGTTTTGTGGAAATGGTGGTGGTGATAGTGATGATGAGGTTGGTGGTGATGATGAGGGTAATGGTGGTGGTGGTGACAGCGGTAGAGGTCTTGGTAGTGGTTGAATGTGTCGATCAATGCTTCAGCCAGCCTCATCATCTATCACCATAACAATTACAATAAAATTACTATTAGAGGACACACACACACACACACACACACACACACACACACACACACACACACACACACACCGCCCCCTCATTAATCTCACCACATTTTTCCCGTCAGCAACTCTATTCAAAAAGTTTAAAATAAATGACCTCACCACAGAGACTCCCCGAGAAGAAGGTTAAAAAGCCTCGATACCTTGAGCTGTTATCAAACCTTAGTCAGGACCAACTAACACTGCTCACGAAAAAATACAAAAGCTCGACGTCCTCTTGGCCTCTGAACTCTATTACTGGTCCGGGTCATCACGCCGTTATAGAGGGAAATGTGTCCCTTAAACGCCAGCACAGAGGGAGGGAAGGAGACACGACACCATGAATCGTTGTGTTGGTGTTGTTTTTTCAGTGGGGGCTGACTGGCTGACAACACATGCTAATGAAAATTACCTCCTGCCCGAGAATGGTGGGAGGGTAATGACCTGCACGTGGCCGACTACACCACGATCCAAAAGGGAAAAAAAAAAGTTATAATGTTGATAAAATCTACATGTTTGAAATTACATCACATTACCTCTCAACAAAATAAAGGCAATCAGGTATACCAAAGATCATTACAAAATTTATTCGGTGTACAAGGAGTAAATAAATAAATCATTGCGAGTTTTTTAGTAGAGTGTAACGATAAAATCCTGTTATATGTTGTCTTCAAGCCGAGTTTTTATAACCATCGTCCACGCCTTTGAGTTAAATAAAGAAAAACAAAATATTATGGACAACATATCTTAAAAAAACAGGATCCCCTATTTTCGTATAATTGTTGTCCTGTGTGTGTGTGTGTGTGTGTGTGTGTGTGTGTGTGTGTGTGTGTGTGTGTGTGTGTGTGTGTGTGTGTGTGTGTGTGTGTGTGTGTGCCATTTAATGTTTTCATTCAATAGACAGTGTTCTTTTATCCTCCCTCCTTTACTACCTCGTTTGCCATTTAGGGATATTTTTGCCAAGTCTTTACTCTCATTTCACGTGGGCTGGTCGTGCTCTCCCCTCCTCATCTGCAATACAATAATTTCAATGTCCATGATGTCCCATACAATCTAATGCCACTTTGATGTTATTTTCAACTGTTATTTGTTATCTGATTTAAATTCCCCTTCATCCATACGAACATCTCCCCTTCTGTGAGCACGTCTTTCCCCTCTCATTCCTCTCCCCTCACAGTACAGATCGATATATGTATATATATATATATCTTTCCCATCGACACACCAGTTAATTGACTATCAGAATAAAAAATTATCATCATCATCATCATCCTTTCCATCTACAAACCCGTGTCTCTCAACCCTTAAATCTTATCACAAACGCCTCCCCTTCCCCCTACAAATCTCTCCTTTTCCATCAAGTTACATAAAAAACAAAAACAATCTACCTTTCCCTCTGTAACTCGATTCTCTCAACCCTCATATATTCCCTCACACGGCTTTCTTTTCCACTTACAAATCTCTCCTTTAACCTTTACACGTCTCTTCGTCCCTGTTACATCCCCCTCTTCCACTACTTACAAGTCTGTCCACTCCTGAACACGACTTGCCCATCAACTGATTACCAACTCTTACCCTTCTTAAACACACTCACTACCTCCACCCCTTCCTTCCCTTCCACCGTCTTCCCTCCCACCCCCCTCCCCCCCGTCTATCCTTCCAGCCTTCTCTATCCCCATACCTCCATTCAGACCCCCTCCCCCTCCCCCAGCCCTTGTCAACCCCGGGGACACCACCTTTATGAGGCTATGACACCGGCCTCTGATGCATCCTGGGTAGTCATGACACACAGACGCTCAACACAACACTTGAAGATGAGACACTTTAGCTTATTTCACTCAATGATTCCATACCCAAACGTTACCGGGTGCAGGTAAGGTCAAGGTACATTGGTTAAGTTAGGGTAAGTTAGGTTAATTGGATTAGAGTAATTTAAGTTGGATTAGGTTAAGTTAGGTTAATTGGATTAGAGTAATTTAAGTTGGATTAGGTTAAGTTAGGTTAATTGGATTAGAGTAATTTAAGTTGGATTAGGTTAAGTTAGGTTAGATAAGGGACTTAGGTTAGCGTTAAGGAGGGTTAATCTTTAGGTGAATTAATCTGGGGTATCTAAATCTTCAGGTAATCCGAATTTTCCCCTCATGTGATAACTTACCTGATACACTGGGAGGGATGGAGCCGAGGGTGAGAACAACATGGTGATGGACTGACTGTATTAAGGTCAAACTTATGGATGGTTGTTAATGAAAAAAATATCAAGAGTACAATGATGGATTTACTGAGGTTAAAGTTGATGAAAAGCTTAAAAAAATCTGACTTAAGGTACAGGGATACATTGTGCTAAGAGGTCAAGCTTAATATACAGGTGTAAAAAATACATGAAAAAATGCAGGTCAAGTTTTATAAATAACCTTTCAAAAATAAATAAACAAATAAATGAATAAATATATAAATAAATAAATAAATATACTATACTTGGAGCTTAACGAAAAAGTTATCAATATACGCCAAAAATAAATGACCAAGACGCAAACTTTACATAATAAGGTATGGGCGACTTTATCACCACCAACAGCTGACACCCGCACTCTTACCTTGTAGATCTTGTTTCTATCCTGTTGTTTACGGTCCCTCACACTTGTTTACTGTCCCTCACACTTGTTTACGGTCTCTCACACTTGTTTACTGTCCCTCACACTTGTTTACGGTCCCTCACACCTGTTTACTGTCCCTCACACTTGTTTACGGTCCCTCACACTTGTTTACGGTCCCTCACACCTGTTTACTGTCCCTCACACTTGTTTACTGTCCCTCACACCTGTTTACTGTCTCCCACACTTGTTTACTGTCTCCCACACTTGTTTACTGTCTCCCACACCTGTTTACTGTCCCTCACACCTGTTTACTGTCCCTCACACTTGTTTACTGTCCCTCACACTTGTTTACTGTCTCCCACACTTGTTTACTGTCCCTCACACCTGTTGACTGTCCCTCACACCTGTTTACTGTCCCTCACACTTGTTTACTGTCCCTCACACCTGTTGACTGTCCCTCACACCTGTTTACTGTCCCTCACACTTGTTTACTGTCTCCCACACCTGTTTACTGTCCCTCACATCTGTTGACTGTCCCTCACATCTGTTGACTGTCCCTCACACTTATTTACGGTCCCTCACACCTGTTTACGGTCTCTCACATCTGTTGACTGTCCCTCACACCAGTTGACGGTCCCTAAACGTCAAAGGTCAAATAAAGCAAGAGACGAATTACGTAACGCGATACTCAACTGAATTATACCCAGGGAGGGAAACTCTGACGGACGTAACGACGGACGCACTGACAGACGGAACCCACTTTATCCTACAGACAGAAGAAACACACTTCTATATCCTCTTCAAACGCAAGTGTGCAGGGGATAAAAAAAAAGGTATAGAACACAGGCATTAAAGAACAAACAGGTATAACAGTGAATATGCAAACACACACACACACACACACACCGCACAAACAAACACACAAACAGGCATATAAAAAAAAACGTATTAACAAAAACTACACGACAAGCAATGAACGTTTTTTTAGTTATTTGACGTTCATGTTTGAAAGATCAATTAGAGTTGCAAATTAATGTTTCTTCTTGTTCCGGGAAAACTGTTGTGTGTCGGTAAAATATGTGGAAATTGGTGGAGAGTCATTAGGAGGCACACACACACACACACACACACACACACACACACACACACACACACACACACACACACACACACACACACACACACACACACACACACAAATAGTTTCTGGAGGAAAAACTAAAATATACAAATTCTACACAACCCAACAAAAACTTTCAAAGACTTTCTCCATGATGATAAATTACCAAGATCAAAACTCGGCGGAACAACCAACAACAAAATAACAAAATGGGCACAAGTTATTACAAGTCCGTTAACTGTGTCGAGTTTCAGTGTTGTGTGGAAGATATATGTTCACTATCTTCCATCACCTCCTGTATGTTTAAACCCTTTTATTACAATGGTTTAATCCCTTACGTATGATATTTTAAACCCTTAATTACAAAGGTTTAAACCCTTTTATTACAATGGTTTAATCCCTTACGTATGATATTTTAAACCCTTAATTACAAAGGTTTAACCCCTTTTATTACAATGGTTTAATCCCTTAAGTATGATTTAACCCATTGAGTATGATGATTAAAACCCTTACGTATGATATTTTAAACCCTTAATTACGAAGGTTTAACCCCTTGGAAATTATGTTTTAACTCATTCAATATGATGATTTATCCCCTTGAGTATAGATGTTTTAACCCCTTGAGCATAATGATTTAACCTTTTGAGCGTTATAATTTAA